CCTCCCTGCCCCTCTCTCCCTGCCCGGCTCTCTTTCTCTCGCTCCCATTTGCCCCTTGGCTGAATTCTGCACTCTCGCCTTTGGCACACGGTCCCCTTTGGCCCTGAGCCGGGGCACGGCCACCTCCGGAGTGGCATCGGAACAGCCGGGGATCCTTCAAGGGACATTAACCCCCTCGCTGCCGGCAGCCACGAGCCCAGCGCTGCTGATCCTCGGGCAGGGAAGCGCTGTCGCTCGCAGGCGGAGCAGAGGAGCCGCGGCTCCGGGCTCCTGGCCGGGATCCGCTCCCGGCCCGAGCCCAGCCTGGGCTCCCTGCGGCTCCCAGAGCCCTGGGCACAACCTGTTGCCCTCTGCACCCCAAAGCTCGGCGGCTCCGCACGCTGCTCTGGGGGCCCCTCATCCCCCCCAGCTCTGGGGGACGTTCCAGGGGGTCCCAAGCTGCCCTGCCCAGGACACAGGAGGATGAAGGCTGGGCAGGGAGCCCTGCGTGTCCCTGGGGTCACTGGGCTGATGGTGGGGCAGGGACTGGAGACGGCCAGGGCTGAGAGAGGGACAAGGAACACTCACGGGGACATGGGGACACACACAGGGACATGGGGACACACACAGGGACATGGGGACACACACGGGGACATGGGGACACACACACAGGGACATGGGGACACACACACAGGGACATGGGGATACACACGGGGACATGGGGACACACATGGGGACACACACACAGGGACATGGGGACACACACAGGGACATGGGGACACACACACAGGGACACACACAGGGACATAGGAACACTCACGGGGACATGGGGACACACACGGGGACATGGGGACACACACAGGGACACACACAGGGACATGGGGACACACACGGGGACATGGGGACACACACGGGGACACACACTGGGACATTGGGACACATAAAGGGACATGGGGACACATACGGGGACATGGGGACACACACGGGGACATGGGGACACACACAGGGACATGGGGACACACACGGGGACATGGGGACACACACAGGGACACGGGGACACCCCCAGGGACACAGAACACACCCACAGGACATGGGGACACCCCCAGGGACACGGGGACACCCCCAGGGACACAGAACACCCCCAGGGACACGGGGACACCCCCAGGGACACAGAACACCCCCATGAACACGAGCTCCCATGGATACACAGAGCTGCTTTGCTGAAGGGGTTTATTGATCATTGCAGGGCAATTCCCAGGGCTCCCAGGGGACCAGGGCCGTTATCCAGGGCTGATCATCTCCTCGTGCCGCTGGAGGGGCTCACGAGCTCGGTGGCACCTCCAGGTCCAGGCCTGCAAGGCAGAGCCCAAAGCATGACCCGCTGTGTCCCCTGGGACACGACAGGTCCCTTGTCCCCACCCCTCTCTCTGCAGGGAGCTGCAGCAGCAGAAGGGATTTGGAGCCCCAGAGATTCCTGGGCCAGGACTCGGTTCCTCAGGTGCGTGTGGCCCTCACAGCCCCTCACCCTGGAGCGCCCCAAAAGCTGCCAGAGCCCCCCCTGCTCCCACAGGGACACCGGCTGTCCCCAGAGCCCCCCGGTGCAGGGACAGCCTTGGGGACAGCTCTGAGCACCCGAGCCCAGGACATGGAGCAGGGACAGCCCCCTTCGTGTCCCTCTGCCATCCCCAAGCTCTGCCCACCCCAGAGGGCTCGGGGATCCCCCCCGGCCACCCAGGATCTTTGGTGGGGCCGGAGTCCCCCCAGCATTTCTCACCAGGGCGTCCAGAGGGGCGGCCGGACATCACTCCTGCAGAAGCTGCACCTGCTCAGCCACGGGAGGCTGGGGAGAGAGGCAGGGTTAGAGCCACACTGGAGGCTACTGGGGCCCCTTGGCAGATACTGGGGCACGCTGGGGAGTGCTGGGGGGCCCTGCAGGGTCGTGGCCACCACAGGGGATGCTCTGGGCCCAGCAGAACTCCGGCTACCCACCTCAGACCTCTTCACTCGTTGGACGCCGTTTGGTTTGTGGATCTAGATGGGGACATGTCACGGCTCACTGGGGTGTCCCCAGCCCCAGCAAGCCAAGGGGGGACCCAACTGGCCCCCAGTTCCCACACTGGTGCCCCAGTTCCAGGACTTACCTTAATGCAGCCACCTATACCTCCTACGATGCCTCCCTGTGGAAGGAGAGCAGAGGTTGAGTCTGGAATGGACCTTGTGGGGCTCAGGGGGTCACAGGGGTCCCCAGGAGCCGTGGCTGCCCCCGCTCTGAGGGGGAAATTCCCCTCTGCTCCCCCCAGTCCCCCTCTGGCCCGTTTCACCTGAGCCCTGATCCCGCAGGGAGCACGGTGGGGATGGAGACGAGGAGAGCAAGGGGGGTTTGGGGCCGAGGAGGAGGAGGAGGAGGAGGGGACAGAGTGGGACATGAGGGCCCCAAGGACGGTGAACTGGGGGGAGCTGGGGGCCCAAGGGATGGGGCTGGGGGTGTTGAAGGGAACAG